TGCAGCATAGACTGATAAGAACTTTTCGTTACTGGATTGTGAATTCAAATTGCACAAAATTAAAAATAATTAATATTTATTAATATTTTAATAATGTTTCAGGAATATTAAAATATAATACCTAGGTTTATTATATAAGTGGACATATAACCTCTATAGAATACTCCTGTAATATTAAAAAAATATTTATGATATTTTCGAAATATTATAACATTATTTTAATTTTTTTACTAATATTCATGTAACATTCTAGGAACATTTTGCGCTTATAGGGATATTTTGAAATAAATGTATATCTTGAAAATTATAAAAGTGAGCGAGAATTTATTAGTACTTTTACAGCTTTATCTCTAGTCATTAAATTTATTTGGAGACACGATCACACGGTAGTGTCTCAGCATTAAGCATGGCACGATTATGCAAGCCGGCGAGTTGTGCCAGATCAAAATTATAGGATCTCAATAACAGCTGTCCCGATCGAATTTTATGTATAATCGATAGCTTATACTCTGATTGTATTATATAATTTTTACATTGTTTTAAAATCAATCCATAAAAGAAGTATAATTTAAATGACGGAACAATTATTATAAATGTAGAATTTTAATCCTTTTACAAAAATAATAATGTTAATAAAATGTTAAAAAATAATATTTTTTTAACATTCTACTAATATGATGTAAACAGTCATGTTTGAAGAACATAAATGTTTTTCAAACATGATTAAACTATTACTAGAAAAATTAATTATAAAATGTATAGCCGCTGCTTTACTATTTTATGTATTAATATTCTTTATTATCCGGTAAAAAATTGTTACATTAATATGTATAAATATGTATAAATATGTATACATAAACACGCATAAATATTCATAATCATATATATAATTATACATGAAATATGCCCATATTTATGCCCATATTCATCCTTCTTTCTTGAACATCAAAAATAATTAAAAAGAAAATTTCCGCATTGTTTATTTTAGAAAAAATCAAGTTTGGAAAAATATAAAAGTCCTATTAATTATTTTTTATGTTTTTTCAATATTATTATTTTTAGTATACTAAAAAGTAATTTTACAAACTAAAGAAGGATGTATAAACATGGATATATTATCTCATACATAATTATATATGTTTATGAATATTTATACATGTTTATGTATGTTTATACATATTTATGCATGAAAAATTTTTTACCAGAGTCGATATGCGATTTTCGATATGTGATTTTCAACAAAATGCTTCTTCATTTCATGAGATAATTGATAATTTTTTTAATAACCTTTTATTATATATATTATTTTACACTCTCAGTAAACGAGAATGGATTAAAATGGATTGAAATTTTTTCTATCCGAATGCGGATTTTAAATAGCGAATACTTTTTTTCAATTGAATGCAATTGGATTGAAAAACTGCATTTCCTTTTCAAAATTTTGAATTGAACAGTATTCACAATGCACAGAAAAAGCTGATATTATTTTTAGATTGAAAGGCATAGAGATATGCTCCATGCAATTCCTATAAATGAATAAAAATGCTTTCAGGATTGAAAAGCATTCATTTTAATATTCGTGAATCCATATTTCTGAAAATTTGAATCCATTTGAATCCATTTCAATCCATTCTCGTTTGTTGGGACTTAATGTTCCTCTTGTGGAGAAATGGAAAATCCATTTTAGTTAATATTTTTGCATTTTAAAACACACAGAGAAGTCTGACATCTCTACTTCGATCTACTTATTTTATATCCGTTATTATTTTAATTATTTATAATATCACAGTTATTGTCAATTATCTTTTAACAACAAGACTGGAATGCTGATTTTAATACTTAATAATTATATTAAATTATAAACATTTTTTTTATTATAAGTTTGTGAGAATAAAAACATTAAATAGATAAATGAAGTAGAAAATTTTGGAATTAACAGGTTACGGCGATAACGCCTAAGCCAATGAAAATATTGGATATTGCCATGAAAAATATGAATAATGCCACAAGAGAAAAAAAAATCATTTACGTGTGGGGCAGCTGTTTTGGTAAACAAGTTCCGAAATCTACCGTCTATGAATACATGATTCTATTTGATACATGTAACGCTGACTGCAAGACCGCAAACTGTGAAATATTTTCAACCAAATGAGAGGTCTACAATACTGCACGATATCGCAAAGATGTTTAATGATCCTGTAAATTTCGTTCTTTGTATCAATCTATTCTTCTTAATGGATTTCCGACTGTTAGGCTTACAATACGACTTATTTTTAAATTCTTAAATTCTATTAATATTCTAAAAAAATTTGCTATTCTAGAATATTATGAAAAGTTTTCCATTTTTTACATAAAAATTTTTTTATCTTACTAAATGAAAATTAAATCGATACTCAAATTTAAAAAGTTAAAAAAATTATATCAATATTCAAACGTTAAAGACATTTTTATCAAAATATATTTAAAAAATATATAGCACTACGTCTTACTATAAGTTACGATGACGTTCATCAGATTTGTTCGGTAGAGCTATAAAAATGTTTTTAATATCTTCCTTCAATTCCATAAAACTGTGCGTCTCCATCACATTCTTCTTGTTTTCTTGAAAGTATTCGAAACAGAATTTCTCTACTGTCTGCAAATTATGTGGAATACATAAAATAAGTAAATAAATAAGTACGCAAAATAAAAATAACTTTTTTGCAGTTCATGAATTTTAGTATTAAATGCAATACTGGAGCGCTAGAACTTAACAGAGAAAAATTGCATGTCTAATAAATCATTTGAAAACATAATTCGCGATCTTGCCACTCTTCCCCCCCCCTCCACCCATTATAACATTTAAAAAATTTGAAAAAATATTTTACTGTAATAGAAACAAGAAAAATATTCTCAATTGATTAATATATCAATTTCATTATAAATTGTGACATTTTCTTTTCGAAGACAGAAATCAGCTATTAATGAAATTTATGAATAAAAAAAAAACGAGATTGCTAATTACATACCTTGCTGTCATACTTTTGTGCTGTATTGTAAATAGAAAATACAGTTTCATCCATTATGTCTTCCTTTATCGCCTTGTAGCAACTTGCCTCGAACCTATTGTCATTCAATTCATCAGCTAGTTTCAGTAGATCTGCAACGAAACAGTTTTAATCGTGAATTGTAAGCAATGGAGTAATTGTACGATCTCTATTTAAACTCAAACTCACCAAATCTCTGTTCCAGAGATACATCAATTTTGCCAGTATATAAATATTTGAAATAGGCGTAACACATGGCATAGGAAAATTGATCAAACCTGATGATACTATAAGGAAGAGCATATATAAAGAATCAAATATAAAACATTATTCATAAAAATAACAAGGGCTTTTACATAAATACTTACTCTTGATCATTTTCAGAGCTTATAAATTGGTCTATGGATTTGAAATATGAATTACGAAACTGTAGGATATTCTTATGGACATAAATAGATTGCCATCCGATTTTTATTACAAGATCGCTGATATTCTGCCAGAAGCAAAGAAATAAATTTGTTAAAGATAAATAAATAGTATTTTGTATATTGCATAACAAAAAGATTTGAGATAGTGAACAATGTTATATGAAGATTATTATATATACATATATATATACATTTTTTTAAACATTCTTAAAAAATCTACACAGGACAAAAAACAGAATTGGGCCACAGTAATTAATTTTGATGCAAGAAAGCAAGTAAAGAATTTTTAAATTATTTGCCTGCGACTTCTATATATCGTATATATCACTTACAAGTTTAAGAATTTCGAAAGCTTCCGGTCCGAATCAATTATAAGAATTTAAAAATAAGTCGTATTGTAAGCCTAACAGTCGGAAATCCATTAAGAAGAATAGATTGACACAAAGAACGAAACTTACAGGATCATTAAACATCTTTGCGATATCGTGCAGTATTGTAGACCTCTCATTTGGTTGAAAATATTTCACAGTAGTTCGCGGTCTGGCAGTCAATGCATTACATGTATCAAATAGATTCATGTATTCACAGGTGATAGGATTCGGAATTTGTTTACTGAAACAGCTGCCCCATATGTAAATGAGTTTTTCTTCGCTTATGGCACAACTCATATTTTTCATGGCAGCAATATCCAACATTTTCATTGGCTTAGGCGTTATTGCCGTAACCTGTTAATTCCAAAATTTTCTATTTCATTTATCTATTTAACGTTTTTATTCTTACAAACTAATAACTTATAATAACAAATCATTTACCATCTCAGGAGTAAGGAGGTCATTTTTCCTATTACAACCTAATTGTCCACAAGAATTTCCACCCCAGGCGAAAATGTTTCCTTCTTCAGATAGTGCGAGTACGTGTGTATATCCACAGGCTACTTTTACTAAAATGAAGACAAGATCAAATATAGATTAGTCAACAGTGCATCTATACAAAACCTTCATTTCCTCATAAATCATCTTTAGAAATGAGCTTTCAAAATAAAGAAATTACTTATTTTAACGCCTTCTGTTATTTTAACTTCAAGTGGTTCATCTATAAATTTGTCCTCGCTCCTAGAAACACCTAATTGGCCACAATTATTTTTTCCCCAAGTGTATATCTTGTTGTCTGCAGTAAGCACTACGAAGAAACTGTATCCACAACAAATAGAATCGACCTTTATCTGGAAATGCATCTGTCTTAACCAGGCCAAGTCATTAAAGTGATGGTTTTGGAAATAGAATACCTAGATATTAAACAACTTTTAATATCTAAAACTAAATATTATTATTATAATAATTCGGTTAGTTTACCTTTTGATCGTCAGTTAAAATGATAAAAGTACTGCCGCCACCAGCTACACTTTGTACAACACGTGAATATCTCAGGTCAATTAGATGAGAATAATACATTAAATTCAGTTCAGCCAATTCAATCCCGCTCAGCCAGTGATATATCTTTTTCAAAAATAAGATTGTTATTAATTTTTATAATTCATATATTTTATATATAAAATACCATAAAAGATAAACTGATGCACTATTATACATATTCATACTAATCTTCCAAAATTTCTGCAAATTCTAAAATTATTAGATATGTTGGTAGGTATATGTGTTGGACAATTATAATTTTTCTTCTTACACTTATGTATGAAAATTATATAAATTTTACATGTAATTTTACAAAAAAGTATCACAACATAGTATAAATCAGACCTGTTCAATTTGAGCTCCGAAGTTAAAACGCAAAGTCACCGACGTAAAAAAATTCAATGTAAGATTTTAGGAACTGTAAACTGTTGATAAGCGTCACTTAAATGCGTATCAACATTTTACAGTCCCCAAAATCTTACCTACATTGAATTTTTTTGCGTCGATGGGTTTACGTTTTGGCTCCGGCGCTCAAATCGGACAGGCCTGATATATAAAATGTATACAAATCCGTCCTTTAGAAGATTATTGAAGTAAATATAGAGAATGTACAAATATGTCATAATCACTATTAAATAGAGAGACATTTTTATGAGAATAAAATTTATTTGAATCCTAAAGTGATTTTTTTTTCATTTCCAAAATGTATGTTCTATTTATTAAGAAATAAAAATAATTTTTCTACATATGCTATGTATGTCTATAATATGACTTCTAAATATTAAGAGCATTAAATTCAATGAAAAACCCCATCAGTAATTTATTATTATATATAACTAAGTGTTAAACATTTGTGCTAGGTTGGGTAAGTTAACTTTAGGGTTTGTTAATTTGGGTAACTTAACAAGTTAATTCATAATGAAATTAATTAAATTAAAAGTTAAGTTAGTAAAAAAAGTAATTGAAAAGTTAAAAGTTAAATATGATCCGAACAAACAATAAAAAAAAAAAGAAAAAGTTTGATCATTTTACATAATTTTTCGTATTTTTCCTTTCTCACAGCATATTTATTAAAGAATCTAGTTATATTTGTTCACAAGTAACAATTATACAATACAAAATTACTAAATTATATGCTCATTATCCTCTCGCATTGTGTCTGAGAATTAACTTAAAAAAAATCAAATTAAAAGTTAATAGTTAATAAAATGTAACTAAATTAAGTTAAAAAGTTAAGAGTCTAAAATGTAACTAAGTTAAGTAAAAATTAATGAACTTTTTAACTTTTTAACGTAACTTTTATCTTTTTAATTTAGCACTACCCAACCCTGAACATTCCTAGTATCCCTGGTGAAAAAATTTCACTGAATTTATTCCACGTTTTGAAATATATCAGCGAAATTGCTGAAAATTTGCTGAAATGTCAATGAAAGTGAATTTTTTAGCTAATATACTAAAAAATGATTAAAATTGAATTGAAATTCCTCTAAAATTTTGTTGAAAATTAATTTTTCAGCTAAAATTTGCTGAAATTAAACTGAAATTTTTCTGAAAAATATTCCAAAACGTAGAATAATTTCAGCGAAAAAATTTTTCCATCAGGAATATTTCTGAGATATACTATACCTCTCCATTTTCTGTTAACAAAATGTAAGTCAAATCACAGTCAATAAGTAACATCTTTATGATTTTCCCGAACATGTAATCCACTTTTTCTGGGTGTAGCAAATAAACTACCACACCTCTTCTCTCAATATGTGAATATTTGCTGCACGAACGCTCTGCGAGCCTTTAATAAAAATTAATACAATGTTACATATCAAGCATGATATAGTAAAAAAATAGTAAATAACCAGTAAAATAATTCATTCATATTGACTTCACGTGAAAAACAATTGTCAGAATCTTATTTTACCTAAAAAGTTGCAAATTTACTTAATATGGCCGTGTTCAGTAAAGAAAATTATAAGTGCTCAACATCAATGTGAACGCTTAATAATTCTTAATAATTCTTAAAGTATACGCACTAATACGTGTTTGTGAGGTGGAGTTTATGCTGAGAACGACAAAAATTTTTCCTTAAGATTTCAATTTCGAAATTTATTACATATATTAATGTGTATACTTTAATCTTGGAAAAGAATTTTCGAATCTGTAAAAGTAAATCCTTGCAAAGCAAGTAATTTCGTTTTAAGAGAAATATTTTTTTCTGCGCTTTTATGAATCTTAATTTCACAAATTGACAGTATTGTTCGTTCAAGTAATCTGAATCTTCCGCCTCATGTTTATTTTCAATCTACAAGGTGTAAAATTTTAATAACGAGCAAATATTAATCTTAGGTGACAATTGTATGTGTCAGAGAAAGTTAATTTTTTAATTTTTTTCCGATTTTCTCGTGAAATCGTTTTCCAGGATTTCTTTTTATGCGTTCTTTAATTCTGTAAAAAAATTTTACAATCCGTGAAGCCAATTTGGAGATTTCTTCTAAAACGTAATTATAGTAAAGTAGGACGACTTTAGGATCCCCTTAATATAATTGTTTCCTACACTGACCGCGTATTCATAGTCGGTTCTTATATTTAAGATGGTTCTTTAGTAAATCGAGTTACCAAAGAGAGAGAGAGAAATGTCTAATTTTAGGTTGGCCATGGTGAAGCACCTTAAATTTTCGGCACTTTACTAAGGACCATAACAGAAAGACTGATTTAAAATCTTAAGTTATTGTGCATTACTAAAGACAAGACTTTAAGTCATAAGAAATTGTCTTGAGATTATAAGTCAGCTTTCTGTTAAGACTCTAAAGAACCACCTTAGAATCGTCTTTTCTAGGTGTCTTTGTTTAATATACAGGATAAACAAAGTATTGTATAGGCCGCGGTCTAAATGCACGGTGTAAACGTAGCCACTGAGGATTGCGAATTGAGGATTAGAATTCAGCCAATTAGAACGAAACGGATTAAACTTAAAATTACCTGATTGGTTGAATTCTAATCCTTAATTCGCAATCCTCAATCTCCAATGCGTAGTGTGACACAGGCATTAAGTTAGTGCATGAATCAATCAGAGAGCCGTATTAGCATCTTAAGATATTACTTGAGATTAGACCGGACTATGGATTCCGGCCCTAGTCGGTACTTATTTCAAGACCATCTTAAGTAATGTCTTAAGACGCCAATGCCTTCTAATTGGTTCATTATACACCTCAAAGCTGAACTTAAGGCGGTCTTGAATATAAGATTTATGAATACCGCCCAGAGGGTCGTATTAGCGTCTTAAGACGATGGCATTATTTAAGACAGTCTCGAAATAAGAACGGACTATGAATATCGCTCATATATATTAGAGAAAGATAACGATATTAAGTTAAACCGAAATTAAAGTTTATATAGAAACAAACATAATAAACGACTATGCGGATTGTTATAACATGCTGCTTTTGTTTTCTCTCTCTCTCTCTCAGCCAACACAAGTATCGTTCTATCTTTAGTTGTTATTATTATTGAATGTCAAGAACATTATTTGCGTCGACTGTGATGAAAAACAGTCAATATTATCTTCGAAAAAAAAAACCGAGTGAGTAAAAGAAGTAGGAAAATACCGATCGACTTATATACGTGTACGAAAGGAATTTTCGAAAAAATTGAATCGCTCATGCTATAACCGAATCGTCATTTTTTTTTTAATCGAATCGAAGAAGAATTAAAAGTTTCGTTAAAATTCCATCCAGTTAACAAACTGACGATCATTTAACACGTGGCGATTTTTAAATTGTAGGATTAATTGCCGAGCGGATGCCTTCCATTTAGTGTGACACAAGTATCGTTCCGTTTTTCTTACGTTTTTCTGTAGAATGCAAAGAAAAATAAAACGATACTTGCGTCGACAAAATTAAAGGCATTTATTACAATTATGATTACGACAACGACTTTAACTCTTATAGACAAAGTTCCGAATATGGGCATTCCTATTCTCAAATTTAACGCGTGATCGCCACTATATACTTTCAATTTGTCCGACAGAAATGTGTGTTCTTAAAAATAAGATAAAAATTCTGCGACTTTATACGCTCCGATTTTTATTTTTATCAGGGAATAGAGAAAAGGCCGGCAAAAAGAAAAGGTGAAATTTTACCATTTTTGATAGCCTGGTTTATCTCTGGTCAACACCTCCTTGCCTTCGTTCTCTGACTCATCACTCGCCATAATAATATATATAATCTACACGCTCCAATAATAACAACGTTAAATTATATTATATATAAAACAATATTCAAATGCACCACGAAATCGTGTAAATGTTTTGAAGAAAATAAAAAAGCAATTCACGATTTTATTTCATGCGCACTATTAATTTTAAGTTTTGCCTAGGCGAGTAAGAAGAACCAAGTGCGATCCCGTTGAGGTAGTTTATATCGTAGACTGAGGTGTCTCTCACTTCTTCTCTTCTTCTTCACACTGGCCAGATACGATAGGTGTCTCTCACGAGTCACGTGGAAATAAAGTTCTAGTGAGAGCGGTCTTTTTCCTGTAATGCTTCTAACTCCCCGTACATTAGCGAAATCAACGTCCATTTTCAAGACCCCCCGTCTCGCCGATAAATTCGTCGAAAGTGGACGTGGTACACTACAAATTATAGAAGTGAAAAAAAAACTATTTTTCGACATTGTTGATAAATAAATTTACATTATGATGCTACAGCCACGAATTACGGATAAAGATAATATTATGCATATATGTGTATTTATTATATATATATATATATATATATATAAGTGCCATCGATTTGACCTTGGATAATCCTCTGAAGGTCACATGAAGGTCACCTTTAATTTTTTAAATGGAACCCCTTATTTCTCATTGCACATTCTTACAGGTCATCTCAAGAGCTTTCCAAAACACTATAATTAAATTAATTTTCGTTAAGTACTAGTTAAGTTATAAAGCAAGATCGGGCATTATAAAGCAAGATTATTAAAATATTAAATTGTGTAAAGTAATTACACAGTGATAATCGTAGCACATACAACCATTTACTTTATTAAGAACCCTATTTCTTATAATTCATAAAAAAAATAAATAACATCATTTTTAGAAATATTAATATTTATTCCCTAAAGTTTAGATGATATTTATTCCTTTTCATTGTTATAACTTAACTATAATAATACTTACTATAATAATAAAACATGTACAATTACAATCATCACAATATACAACAAAAAACCGTCAATTATTCTAATAAAGTATTACTTGTGTTAATAACAATATGGAAAACTTACTTTTGCATTCATCTGCGACGTATCTGTGTAAAAATAGTTACAAAAGTTGGAATGTAATAAAATGACCAAGTGCCGATGGCCATAGATATACACTACCATTCACGATTATTCGAATGGAATGCTGTATAGATACATTTCAAATTTTTTGTAACTATTTTTACACAGATATATGGCTCCTGCATATTGAATACGGAAACGCTTGCCGCGCGGCAAAATGTGATGCGGGAGCCAATAAGCTTACAGTTCCTAACATGTTCATTGGTTACCGCGTCGCATTTTGCCGCGCGGTAAAGGCCATCACACGTAAAAAAATTTTAGTTGTAATCGTAAGGCCGTAAGCAAATCACCCAATCACAGTCGAGCGTTTTGAAACGCGAGATCGTAATTTTGATTGTGATTGGTTGATTTGCTTGCGATCTTATGATTACGACTAAAATTTTTGTACATGTGATGGCCTTAAGCTTTTGCACGTTCAGTGTGCAGCAGCCATTAATCGTACTTCTTAGGCCCTGCGCACAATACAGGAAATATTAGGAATAGATATTAAGATTTTAACCTATCAGATACCAGTTACACCGGAATACACGGTTTCTGATAGGTTGAAATCTTAATATCTATTCCTGTTCCTAAT